TATGCTACGTTCTCACAACAGTCAAATGAGACCCAAATACAACTTTTAAAAAATGTAAATTGGGCTGATGAGACTGCAGCCCAATTTAAATTTTTCCAGCCCCTAAAAACACAATTTGTAACACGATGGCAGTGACTTCTGTACTTTTCTTTTGTAAAGTAAAAAAATATTTCAGTTTCAAAACTTGTTTTTTTCTAAAATATCTCTGAGATTTCTGGTGCAAATTTACTTCTTTGTTTCTTTTTACCAGATAGAAACTAGCGGCGTTGTACAAGCTGTAGCTTTAGCAGTAATACAGTTGAATGTCATGTAAAACTGTAGTGTACTTCTTTGTTAAAGATACAGTATTTGTGAGGTCAGAGCCAGTCTCTGGTTCTACTTCCTGTATCTGGTTCTGATTCCTGATGATGTCACGTCGGATCCGTTCATCCTCAGGTCATGTGGACCGAGCTGCCTTGTCAGAACTTCCACCTGCTGGTCTGCTGTGCAATCCTGGACTCTGAGAAGCAGAAGATCATGGAGGAGAACTACGGCTTCAACGAGATCCTGAAGGTAACGCCGAGCCGATTAGCTTCGGCCGATTAGCTGGATCATGTTCTAGTGACGAACGATCAGATCACGGAGTCTTATCGATCGGGTTTCTTCTGTTGCAGCACATCAACGAGCTCTCCATGAAGCTCAACATCGAGGAGATCCTGCAGAAAGCCGAGGGCATCTACCTTCAGATCCGCAGCTGCAAGGTGGGTGTTAAGTTTTCATCACCTCTGTGTGTTCCAGGGAGCTCCGCTTGTTTACTGAGGCTGTAACTACTAAATATCAGTTCTGTACTGAGACGACACAAGTTATCGATGAATGATTAATCTAGACTTCTTTGAGCTAGTCTGTCTATTAACAATTAATTGATAAACAACAATTTTCTTAAAAACTTGAGTTTTCTCTTGTATGGAGATAATTTTTCATAACATGCTGGATTTAAAAAAGAAAAAAACAATGTGTAACTAAGCTTGTTGAGGATTTATATTACAAAATAAAATCGCAGTAAGTGAATTTTTCATCTGGACCGTTTCCCTTCCCGGGATAGTTCTGCCACTGGCTTTGCTCAGCGGCGCCCTCTTATGGAAGGTGGCTAAACTGCAACACTGAGAGAAAGTCAATGGGGATGTTATTAGTCAGTTTTTTTATTCTATTTTTTCACCTTCCTTCTAACTTTCTGAGGCCCCACTTTGAAAAAATTTTTATTAATTGTTAGCATCCCTAATTGAGACAAATGTTGGAGACTCAAATGGTCCAGTTTAAATCTCCTGGTGTTGTTTTTACTATGGCCCGGTTCTGATTCTGATCCGTTCCTCCTTTGCAGGACTTGCCTCACTCCATCAGCTCCATCCTGGGCTTCGACTCGCAGCACAGAGTCTCCAGCCAGGCGGACTCTGGATCTCGACCCGTCCAGCAGCAGGACGCCTGTTCAAATGGACACTGCAGAGACAACAGATCCCAGAACTGCAGAGGAGTTTTCACATCGTAGTTAACGCATAGACTGACTGTAGGTCAGCAGGGGGCGCCGTGTAGTCCCCAGAAGGATCGGGGAAAGGTGTACAAAGGATTGCAGATTATTCAGAATCTTATTTTTCTAACTTCTTATATCGTCTATTTGCTCCTGATGTTTTCTAAAATCCTGACCTGAAGACGGACAGGAGCAGGTGGGGAAGCCCCTGGACTCTCACACATGTGCCACACGCGTGTGCATCTGTTTCCTGAGTCAGAACTTGCCTGCAGATCAGATGCTGCCTCATAATCTGTCCTTCTTGCCGACAGCAGCTAATCAGTATTTTATTATCGACGCATCAGCTGATTATTGATTTGTTTGTTTTTTATCTGTAAAGTGTAAATGCCCAAAGTGACGTCCTTAAACTGCTCAGTCTGTCCCAAACTGAGGTGCATTATTTTCTTTCATTAAAAAGCTGCCAATGAATGTTTTGGTCTCTGTGTATGAACAGCTTCGTTCTCATCTTCCTCAGATTGTTCCATTCCAAATGTTTCTGCAGCTGCTGGAGGAGGACACTTAAGATCCAGAGGGTTTCAATTAGGTTCATCACTTCCCTAATGACCAATAAAGTAATCATTATTTACATATACTGACTCTTCAGACTTACCTAAGCCTCCCTTATTTAAGCTACTAAAGAATATTGAAGTTGATATTTGTTCAAAACATTTCTCCTTCTTCTGTTTCCGTTCAAATTTCTGCTTCCAAAATTTTTTGAAAGTAAACTTTAAACTCATTACATCTCAATACATAAAACTATGTATCGAGATGTTTTAATACATACTATGGAAAAATTTCCTTTCCCTTAGCAATACTGCTGTTATGGTGGAATTTCCCTATATTTTCGAAAAGAAAAGCCATTTCAATTTAGTCAGATTACTATTTATCCAAGTTATTAATTCATTGGGTCCAGTTAATTATGGAGTAGTATAAAAAATTTGTACCAAATAAAACCCAGCAGATTGTATGGAGTCATTACTTACAGCATTCACTCCTCCTGACAAGCAGGGGGCGACAGTAAATTGCTTGTGTTGAGTTGTTGACTTTACAGCAGTCCCCCATACAGAACATGCATGTAGCAAAAGTGGAGAAGAAAAACTCCCCTCCAGGAGAACCAGAACCGGGCTCAGTACCAGCAGGTATCTGCCATGACTGACTGGAGCTGAGAGAAGACAGAGCAAAGACACAACTACAAGTCAACTGAGCCAGGAGAACTTTCCATGTTTGTAAACTTATGTCAGCCAATGCCCTCCTTCTGGAAGAAACCACAGCCAATCAGAACACCAGACCAAATGCAGAATCTATGGAAAGAAAAATAACTGAGAAAACAAAATCTGGTTTCTAACTAAGCTTTTTAGTTAGAAAAGTTTTAGTTTCTAACTAAACTTTTGGTTTAGTTAGAAACACCAGAGCGCCACCTTCTGGCCTCTCCTCCAGATCAGTTCAGGTCAGAGAAGGGAACTGTTCTTGGCTTTGTTTTTCCCCTCCGTGGGCTGCCACCTTATCGTGGTGGAGGGGTTTGAGTGTCCCGGTGATCCTAGGGCTTCGTGCATCTATTCGGGTTGGGTCTGCCGGGGCAAATGGATCCTAGGTGAGGGATCGGACTAAGAGCAGCCCAAAGATTGCTTAGAAATATAAACAGTGTTTCTGTTTATAGATAGACATGGTTCCTGCTTACAACCAGGACAGTTGACCGAAGTCAGTTATGTCAACACTAGGGCTGAAACGATTCCTCGAGTGATTCGAGTACCTCGATTATTAAAATTTCTCGAGGAAAATTTATCTGCCTCGAAGTTTCGTTCATTTATGTTTTATTGTTGAGAAGACCGTGTTCTGGTTGGGTTATTGCTTGCGTTGTGCAGCACTCTCACTTCCGCTTGAGTTGTTGATGAAAGCTAAGTGTCAGCATAAAGTTCAGTTTTCGGCCTGGGAGGATTTTATTGATTCATGATGAAGTCGGGTTTTTGTCTTTTTTTGGGGGACCAATCCTTAAAATGACAGGCGTGATGCTTGGAGTACGGCAGTCTGTTCTCCTCCCAGACCTGCTGCCTGGTGGCAGGAAAGAGTGATGCAGGTGTATTTATACAGGTGAGAGGATAGACTGAACTCTGCGGGGCCGCTGCCCATTAGACGATTAATGTAAGTGTAGTCTTACTGACGAACCGGAAAATTTATTTCATATCATCCCAGTCTGAACAAATGTTTGGCGGAGCTCATCGTGGCGACACGAAGCTGGTAGATGTTTCTGTGTGCAACGAATGAAGGAGTCAAAACCCGTCGCTAACATGAACAGAAAGCTGTAAATGTCTGGGTAAGGTGAGAGTTCATCTATTAAACTGACTGGAGATAAATACATAAATCAAAAACTGGAGTATAGATGTTTCTTCATTAGCGTATTTATTGCCTCTTAATCATTGAATTGAACTTCAGATTCAGAAAAGTTATTGTTAGGGAAGCTCAAATATGAAAAATTGGACTGATACTACTACTTCTGTTAGATTTACCAATGTTTTATTTAATATTTTTTTATCCGATTACTTGATTAGTCGTAAGAATAATCGATAGATTACTCAATTGCTAAAATATTTGTCAACACACCTAAAGCTGCTATTATGTTTGACATGCGTGTTTTAAAAAAAAAGTTTTTAATTTTAAACATTTACAAATCAAACAGTCTTAAATATTGTCGTTTTTAAACTAGAACAGCTATATTAAGTATTACTTTAAATGTTAAAATACTTTAAATTAAAGACACAGAAGTATCGTCAAGTAATTCTCAACATCCTGTTCACTTTCACAGTTGATGAGCTACAATAAAATGTTCATTGTAATTAAGTCTATAATATTGTTTGCATTCCTAGTTATGGCCTGTTTTTATCCGTTCAGGCTCTGGTTGACTCTAAAATGTCACATTTGTCAAAGCCTCCTTTAAATGTCAGCTGAGCAACTTTCATGGCGCTGATGGACGTCTCTTCGTCCTCCTGGTCTGATAGGAGCCATTTGAAGGTGGAGGAGACGGCCACCTGTATCACCTGCCATCTGCTCATAAAGCTGCTCAGAACCAGAACAAAGCTGCTCGGCTTTCATTTCCTGTTCTGCAGGAAATTGGGAAAGAGGCGGCCGATAGCTGCCGCTGCTTATCAGCTGCTTCCTCTCGGCTTCGTGAAGAGTCGGAGCGTCAGTCAGAGCTTCACCTGCGCTCCTCATCCTCACTGTAACGGAGGTCCGACTTGACATTTAGACAACAGAAAAGCCTTCAGTTCTGAGAAAATAGAGGTTTATTAAAGCAGACAAACGGGGATAAAAATGCAGCCTGGAAATATAAACAAGTCAGTAGCTGTGTTTCCATCGACCGTAAAATTACAAAAATAAATGAGCTTACAGCAAATACACCAATTTCGAATAGTTATTCAAGTTTTTCGATAAAAAGTTTCTGCACTAGGCTAAGGTTTTTAACAGTTGTATCAAAATTAGTGTATTTTGCAAAAGTGTGACGTGATCAATAACCGGATGGTTCTATTGGTGGAAAAGACAGACAACAGCAGGAAGTAGGTAAAGGATGTTGATTTTTTTTTTTTACAAATGTATTTATGTGATTTTAATTAATTTCTTATTTAATGGAAATAGCCATTGTGAAATGGTGAAATGTGTTTTTTAACATTAGTATAAATATGCGTTACAGCCATTACTCTATTACAATTTGAGTACTCTACCCACCTCTCTGTAATACTAAGATAAATATCAGTGATGTATACTATAGCACTTAATGCCACACTAGTAAAATTAGCTTAACTTTCATTTATAAGCTAAGATGGACATAACCTACATGTTTATCTGCCAGAACCTTGTTATTCATGTGAAGAGTTCCTTTACAGACCCTTTTAAACATTGATTTTATGCATCCTTGCACTCTTCATGTTCACCACGTAGTGAACTATATCGAGATCAGAGGCAGCTTGTCCACTTTGACTCATTTTCCTTCTCAGTCTCTTTTTGGATCAGTTCTGACAGCAGCCATTTTGTTCATGTATTTTTCTTTTGCACATTGGTTAAGCTGTCTAAGCTTTTTTTCATTTTGTTGATCTCGAATCCATGGGTCTAAGATGACGCAGATCACATCCGGTTCAGATTTGTGGGAACTATGTATTAATCTATTGTATTAATCCAGATGTTCTGAAGCCCCGCCCCTCCAGGTGTTCCACACTCTCACATTCAAGCTTTTCTCCCCCCCATGAGATCTTCTCTCCCTTCTGCAGCAGTTTGGGTCCATCCATGCCGTGGACAAGCCCCCTCCATCAGAGGGCGGAGCTTCTTTCTCTCTCCCCTCTCCTACGGGAGTATTTAGGTGAAAGTGAGGCGGTTTCTGATCCTCAGCAGAAGCTGCATCATCCGGACGGCAGGCTGGAGCCCTGGTACTCGTACACCCACTGGTTCCCCATGGCTTCGGCCCATGTGATGAAGGACGGCGGGCCGGAGCCGATACCGCGCATGCAGCCCGCCATGATGATGTTCTCCAGCAAGTACTGGTCCAGGAGGGGGATGTCTCTGGACTCGGCCATGTTTGACCAGCACAACCGCCAGCATCAGCAGAGGCACACCGGGGGACAGATGGTGAGAGCCTGGACTCCTCTTCGCTCCTCTCTCCTCTCTGGATCTGTTTTCAGGTGGTACAGCTCAGTTTTGTCAGTGCAGAACTTCAATCTGGGTCGGGATTCTTCACCTGGGAAGAGGAACTTATTGCTACTGGTTCAAAACGGCTTAATGAACAGAAAAGTCAGGGAATATTTATTTTATATATGATTTACATTTCTTCTACAAATATATTTTTTAATTTTCCTTTATAAAAAGTAATTGAGGTAAATTTTGGAGGACAATCAGTTTTGAAGAGAAACTGAACTTAGTTGCAGGCTCAATAATTTGGTTACAACAGATGAAATAGATCAGATTTTATTAGTTTCTTCATATTTGGGAATGAAATGAAAATAAACATTTTTTAAAATCCTCACCGTATTGAGTCATATGTGTAGAGATGTTCCATTCAGCTCTTCATTGTTGGAATGTTAACCGGTATGGAGAATGTCTCCTGCCAACAGTTTGAAATAAATGTGTATATAAAAAGAAACAACGGAAAAAAAATTGGAAAACTGTGAGTATGGTAAAGAAGAAATAAAGAACAAAACAGAAATGGAGAAAATTCAATGAGGAGATATCAAAAAATTAAATGAATCTTAAAGCAAATGTGATTAATAAAATAATGGCAATAAAAATATTAAGTATAGAAGATGATAAATTAGGGGAAAATGAAATAAAAATGGAAACTAATAAAACTGAAAATTGGATAGTAGTGACGTTACAATAATACTACAGAAAATTTGTCACTGTTATCAAATAATTTGGGAAAATGTTAATTTTTTATTTTTGCAAATATTTGGCACTTTAACTACTTTTTCAAGCCATTTATTTCTATATTTATTGTCAATTTTGGCAGGATCAGTCCTCCATACCCCTTGTGTTGTTCCTGAAAATCAATAATTTGCTTCTTGGATCCAATTTATCTGGGTTCCAGTTCCTGTTGATGGCCTATTGTAACTTTTTTGAAACCAAGATGAAAAGCAGACATTATCATTTTCTGTCAGACCTTCTTATCGAACGGATGAGAAGCGTTCATCACACATTCATCAGCTCTGCAGAATCTGAAATTAGTGTTTCAGTAATTCCTCTGCTCCGACTGTAAGGCTCAGATTCTGGACTCATGTTCTCTTTCTGACTAGAGGTTCTTAAAATACTCCTTTAAGAACCTGTAGCCTGATTGATTATTGGTCATCGTTCCTTACCTGAATGTGTCTGAAACAGAAGGAACAGGAAGGTGGGTCTCATGTGCTGCATTGGATGGTTTGCACGTCGTCCTCTGCATCTGTCAGCATCTCCATGTTTAATTCAGGAAACAACAGCTGCAGCTGGTCTGTTTGAACAGTCGGCGTCAGATAAGAGCAGCAGGTTCCGGTTATTTCGCTCCGGGTCGGAACCTCCGGGGTCAATCGGTTGTAGGAAAAAACCAGCAGAAGCATATCAGGTTCTGAGCTGCAACCTGATTGATCTCATCGATTAACTAATAAGCGGCCATTTTCTTAAAAACTTGAGTTTTCTTGTGGATGAAGAGGGTCAGCCAGTCCAGAAAATAAAGGACTAATATTTTCATAATATGCTGTATTATAATCTTCAGAAACTTGCCAAGTGTTTATATTGCACAACAGAACCACATAAAGTTCATTTTCAATCGAACACCAGACTTTGATTGAACCGTTTCTCTTTCCCGCTCTGGCATGGTCACTCCGCCATCTTGTTTCTTCTTCTTTTTGGTTTTAATGGCGAGTTTCTGAATTAACGGCTTTGCTTCAAGATGACCAGCAGCGCCCTCTGTTGGATGGCACCAAACTACGACACTTAAACAAAAAGGCCACGCGGATGTTCTTAATGGATTTGAACTAATTTTAATTTAATGAATAATTGATTGACATTACAGTTAAAAAATTTAACAACTAAATGTCACTGAGTAAATGTCCTCTGATCTAATGTGTTGTTTTTGTTTTGTTCTTCATCATCAGTCCAGACGGACATCTTTCTGTCCAATCAACGAGAAGCCCGATGGTGAAAACGCAGAGGATTCTGGGAAAACAGCAGTGGTGTTTTCTCTGAAAAACGAGGTCGGCTATCTGGTCAAAGCGCTCAGACTCTTCCAGGTCAGAACCAGAACCATATTCAGGAGCTAAACTACAGTTAGAATCGGGTCCATAACCAAGTTTAGGAAACTAGACCAAAATATTTTGGGTCTTTAAAGTGCATCTCATGGAAAAAGTGTCTCCCCATAAGTGAAGAACTAGTACTTTTTAATCAATATTAAGGAATTATTGACTTAGAAGCTCCTGTGTTTCGCTAAACAGTTATCTGTAAGTTGGTTTTGTCTTATTTCCAGAACTAAGATATTTGCACTAGAAATTAGACAAGACATAGTGTTAATTCAGATCCAGGCAGTATTTGTATCCAACCTATATCCTCTCCTTCTAGGAGAGACGGGTCAACCTGAACCACATCGAGTCCCGGATGTCGAAGCGGGTTCCTAACGAGGTGGAGATCTTTGCCGACTGCAAATGCAGCAAGAAAGAGTTTAACGAGCTTCTGCAGCACCTCAAAGATCACGTCAACATTATCTCCTTCAACACGCCTGCACATGTTTGGTCGGCTGAGGCAGGTAGGGATACAACACAGATACAAGACATTCATGGGTGGGAAAATGTTTCAAAGTGTTAATTTTGGTGTTTTCCCAGATGAAGAGGATGTTCCCTGGTTTCCCATGAAAATCTCAGAGTTGGATCAGTGTTCACACAGAGTGCTGATGTACGGGTCGGAGTTGGATGCAGATCATCCTGTGAGTTTATAAGTGTGTGATGCTCGTGTATCTAAAGCATGCTTCATTCATGGCTTTCTGATGATTAGGTGATCATGCAGAAAGCCAAACTGAGGAAGTTCCTGTCTCTGTTCCGCCTTCTTTTAGGGATTTAAGGATAATGTTTATCGTCAGCGCAGGAAATACTTTGTGGAGGTGGCCATGAACTACAAATTGTGAGTCATAATTTGTAGGTCTGATTTCTTTATATGTCCTTCCATTAATCCAGGTGGACTTTATCAGCAATATTCACATATTTTTCTTCAAATCTGAGTAAATTAATTTAACCAATTTACAATGGCGTATTAGGGCAAAAAAAGGAGTAAATTCCTGCCAAAGAACTCACAAATTTTGAGATTACGCTCAGAAAATTTGTAGAAAAAACTTTGAAGTTTCTTAGCTTCAGAAGTCGTTTTTGTCGTTTTTTAAACATTTTTTAAAGAAATTTTAGAATTTTCGACCTCATAAATTTCCAGGCTTTTTTGTAGAAAATATCTAATCTATTTTTTGGCAGAAATTTATTTTTCCTTTTTATCCATCCATAATACTCCAAATGCTCCGTCGTACATTTCCAAATTTTGTGCCAAAGACCAAAAGTAAAAAAAATGTTTTTAGACATTTTTAAGTGTTGCAGTTTGGCCGCTATACAGCAGAGGGCGCTGCTGTTAACCTTTAAGCGGAACTGTTGGCGATACACTGTTGGTGTGGGGTGCAAAACACATTTCATGAGTTTCTGTTATGAAATATAAACACTAAACAAGTTTCATATGTTTCACAATGGTTTAAATGCTTTTTTGTGAACATTTTAGCCCTTTAAATTATTGAAAGTCGGTCGATTGTCTTCATACAAGAGAAAACTGAGGTTTTCTAGAAAGTGGCAGTTTTGTCAAGAAACAGTTAGTCGATCAATAAGATCAATTTGGATCCCTATCCCTCATGTTTTTACCCTAAACCGTCCTTCGGCAGTGGGCAGCCCATCCCTCGGATCGAATACACCTCCGAGGAGGTGAAGACGTGGGGCGTCGTGTTCCGAGAGCTGACCAAGCTCTACCCGACCCACGCATGCAGAGAGTACCTGAAGAACCTGCCGCTGCTCACCAAACACTGTGGCTACCGGGAGGATAACATCCCACAGCTGGAGGACGTCTCCTGTTTTCTCAGAGGTTGGGCCCTTTGTGTGCACAGTAACTATTAGAATAAAACTGTAACACCCATGCAGCAGAAGCTGCTGATGATCCATGAAGGGAGAGTAGTAGGAGAAAAAATAGAGCTCAAAAAGTCAAGTATAACTTCAATGATGAGAGTTTGTGAACTTTATCATAACAAAAACTTTTAAGCAAATGAGACAGAACAATATTGTTGTTCCAGGAGGTGCAGTGACATCACTTCCTGTGCGTTTCAGAGCGTTCTGGCTTCACGGTGCGACCTGTGGCAGGTTACCTTTCTCCAAGAGATTTCCTGGCTGGTTTGGCCTACAGAGTGTTTAACTGCACTCAGTACATTCGCCACAGCACCGACCCCCTCTACACACCAGAACCGTGAGTCCAAACCTGTAATCTGCTGCTCTGTAATCTCATCGTACTCAGTCACATAATTTCTCTGATTTTCCATTAATCTATTTCCTCCATAGATTTCACATACCCAGTTTCTTGTTGTGGTTTTTTCTTCCAAACGGTTTCTAGTTGTTTCTGTAAGACTAGTTCAAGATCAAGTCTTTGCAGGCCCTTTTTTTGATTAAAAAAAAGCAACATTTAGGACTGTCGCAGTAATCAAATCTCTTAACAAATTAACTCAATAATTTCCATTTGCATGATTGCTGGATGACAAATGTCTTCAGTTTGGTTCTCTGGTCTCAACTAGCCCTTTTTTTTAAAGGAAAATTTTGTTTATAGAAACTTTATAATTAATTTTAACTGTTTCTGTTTTGTTTATTTATTTTGGATATTTAAAATGTTTTCCAGTTCCAGTGTTAAAAATGTTCATTTGTATTTAATGCTAGATCTTGGAGAATGTGTTCTTGCATTTAATGCCATTACTATTGTATTATTTGAAAATGGTCTCAAAACAACAATATTATTGTGTATCGCAATATTTTATTGTCTGACCAGCCTTGCAACACTTAAACCCCCAACTGGTTTTACTTTAATCAACCAAATTTCAAACCAATTCAATGAAATCCCTGAGTTTCAGGGTGAATGAAAAGTCAGATTAATTAATTTTAAATAGTCAGAATTACATTTAAAGGCAGCCTACATAACTGCCCTCCTCCAGAACATCTGGTCTGCTGGTCCAAACAGTGACGACCAAACGGCTGTTTCTGTTCTCAGAGATACGTGTCATGAGCTGCTGGGTCATGTTCCCCTGCTGGCCGACCCAAAGTTCGCCCAGTTCTCCCAGGAGATTGGCCTGGCTTCTCTGGGAGCGACGGATGAGGATGTCCAGAAACTGGCCACGGTGAGTGGGGACCGGTGGGCTGGTACACCCACCCATCCCATGAAGACTATTTAACGTAAACTAAAGAAAACCTCAGGGTTACTCTAGGGCGACTTACCTGAGGTAAAAATTTCTATAAAGCTTCTTGGTGTATTTGTTCACAGTTAATTTCTGACTAACAGCTTGATGATGACGATGGTCCAGTTTCAGTTTATTTCTTTAGTTCTGACATCTGGTCAAAAAACAGCTTTACGTCTTACCTGTACACTTTGCTCTGATTGGCTGTGTGCTGTCATGTGACTCAGTGGTTCAGCAAAGGTCACCACTGACGAACTGCAGTTACATTGAGTGACCTCAAGGTGGCACTGCTCTCCAAAACACTGACTGCTGATTTTTCTGTTTCAGTGTTACTTCTTCACCATCGAGTTTGGACTCTGCAAACAGGACGGTCAGCTCAGAGCTTATGGTGCTGGATTACTGTCATCCATTGGAGAGCTGAGGGTGGGACACTCACACACACACACACACACTGTAAACAGATTTAGGACTGCGACCTTATGCTGCAGAAAACTGAATCCATTTTAGAATTTGTGGAGTTCCTCTGGGTTTTGTTCTTGGATCTCTTTTATATTAAAAAAATAGGAACTTATGAATGGTAAGATAATTGATCAGTCTATTTTTTTTCCAGCATGCTCTGTCTGATAAAGCCTGTGTGAAGATGTTTGACCCAAAGACGACCTGCAACCAGGAGTGTCTAATCACCACCTTCCAGGATGTTTATTTTGTCTCTGAGAGCTTCGAGGAGGCCAAGGAGAAGATGAGGTGAACAACAAAACACACAAACAAGTAGAAAACAAACCCATGAAAACACTGGAGGAGATTAGCATGAAATATTACTAAAAAACTATCACATTTTCACTAGAAACTAGACTAAAAATACTTGGTAAGATTTTATGTTTTTGCAGTGTATAACTAAAACATCTAGTTTTAATTTCACCATAAATAAATCCTTCACTCCAGAGCCAACCAGAGTTAAGCTAATGATGCCAGTGTCAAACTGATGGTGTTTGTTTCAAATCTTTTTTATTTTGCTCTGAAACTGTAAAACCTGACTATTGATTCAAGAGGAATAACATTCCAGATCTGTGTGTGTTTGTTTTTTGTTTTACTCCTGCAGAGAATTTGCCAAATCCATAAAGAGGCCGTTCTCTGTGTACTACAACCCGTATACGCAGAGCGTGGATCTGCTAAAAGACACGCGCAGCATCGAGAACGTGGTGCAGGACCTGCGCAGCGACCTCACCACAGTCTGCGACGCCCTCGGCAAGATGAACACCTACCTGGGCATCTAAGGCTGAAGCACACCCACTGCAAAAAAACTAAATATTACCAAGTATTTTTGATCTGGTTTCTAGTTCAAATATCTTATTACACTTGAAATAAGGCAAAATTAACTTAAAAGTTACTTTTTAAAGATTGGTAATCGGCGAGATGCCAGAAAACTGCAATCAGTGCACCCCTATCTGTATTAGATAAATAATTATTTAATATTGTCATATATTCAATATGACAAGACAAAATTCCATGTTAAAAGTGAAATAGTTTGCCAGTGGGACTAGTTTCAAAACAAGTTCATTTATTGTGCTTAAAAGTTTCTTCAAAGTTCATTTTGTCTTATTTCAAATGCACCAAGATGTTCCACTTGAAACTTGATAATAAATACTTAGTGAAATTTTGTGTTTTTGCAGTGCAGGAGTTCTGACCGGTCCAATCAATTGGTTCTGACTTCAGTCTCTCAGATTATCAGAGAAAAACTTCCGTCCAGCATTTTTACCGTCCAAACGTCTAATTTCATCCACTTAATGTTTGCGCTGCTCATGTCAAATGTCTCCTGTAACCAAGTCCAAGCTGTCAGAATAAAGTGAAGAATCCCCTACACTCAGGAAGTTTGTCTTTCTTTAACTGATCATCAGTAACGAGATTAATAAGTTTGGAAGCATAACTGATAAATCCTCAACGCTCCAACTTCTGTGGATCAGTTCTGGTTTCTAGGACTTTCTTTTATGCCATAAGAGAATTAGGGAAAAAATGAAATAAAATTGAGAATTAACTTCTTACTCGTCTGTGGGTGAATCTGTCTTGCTTGATGTAGGAAAGGAGTATTGTCATGAAGATTAATGTTACGTCTCACTTGCTTGGTGCAACCAAATTTTAAATCATGATGGGAGAAAACTTCAGGTATGGCATTAAACTTTATGGCTCCCGCCTTTTTTCCCCGGGTGGGGCTAGGTTCACCCAGGTGTTTTGCACAGCTGAATAGTTGCCAGGTTTGTTTTTGATGAAGAAATGACATTATAGCATGATGTAAATCTTTATAAAAGTCAATTTTACATGATACTGTCGCTTTACGGTGTATTAGTGCAGGTCGGAGAACGGTTTGGGGTAGCTGAACATCAGGTAGTCCCTGTAATAAAACTCAAACACCTTCTGCCTCTCTGTGTGGTTTAGCTGGGAGAAATAATCCTGCGTGATTCTGGATGAGGTCCGCTTCACCCACGGGTTTCTATCCTTGAAGTCCGGGAAGGTGAGGTTTTCCGGAGCGCCGATGCCATGCAGGAGGAAGTCGGCGTCCTCCTGCAGGGTCTCTATCTTCCCAATGAAGTCGTACGGGATCAGACATGGGCTGCAGAGCTGGCTGACCCGCTCCCAGTGGATGTCCATCCCAACGGGTCGCTGCGCGTCCAGCAGGTACTGAACGAACTCCCTGAAAGTGACGCCAGAGCCAGTTTTCAGAGCTGAGCTTGTGGCGTTGGCCCGGTATCTGGAAATTATGGCCCGTCCGAACACAGGATGATAGTAGGAGTTTGGACTTTCAAACTTGTCCCGGAAGGCCGAGACGAGCCGCTCGAAGGGCTCCCTGACGAACAGAACCTTGGTGTAGGTTCGGAGTCTCTCGGCGATACCGGCCCGATCGTAGCTGTCCAGCCGTCGCAGCTGGTTGCTGTAATGAACTGCATTGTGAGGAATATCCTGAGTGGACCGGGCTCTGCCTGCCAAAACCATCAGGACCCGTTTCCAGTTGGAGCAGCCAGCTTTTGGCACCTCACAGTACAGCAACCGGAACCGGTCCTCCACGTAAAGCCGAGACACCTGCTGCACCCTGACCTGCCGCTTCCAGCGGACCTTCTGATACTTGGAGCAGACATCGTTCAGCTGGCGGCGCCGAGACCGCTGCGTCCTCAGCTCCGCAGAACCTACATAGGGGGCGCTCTTCAAAAGCAGCTTCCTGTGGCGCTTAATTATGGGCTGCTTCTTGCCCAGCAACGGGTCAGAACAAAGATGGAGGACAGGCGGGAAGCCGGGGAAACGTCCAGCTGGGATGTCTTCAGTTTGCCAGGACGGAACCTGAAACACAGAACAGAACCAGAACCAGAGTAAAGACCAGAGACTAGAACGTCTGAACCAGAGTGAAACTGTAGCAGGAATGTAAGGGAGTTTTCACACTCAATAGTCCAAATTAGAATATTTGTTACATTTTCAACTACTACGTTTTGCTTTCACACTTCTCTGTGTCAAATGAACTAAACCCTTTAAAAAAAAAAACATTCCCCTCCTCGCCTGTGGTGGCGCTGCACCAAGAACCACTGCAGTAAACAACACAAAAACCTACAAAGAAGACACAGAGGGCAGTTTCCTTTTGAATGAAACGTAAATAAAAATTGAGTTTCTGTTGCTGCTGTAATGCTGCATGTGTCCAGCAGGTGGTGCTTTGGCACCATGTTTACCTTCCGTTCAGGCCGAGTAGGAACTTCCGGGACAGGAACACCTGAAACAGCAGAATACAGAGTTGGACATGTCTGAGTTTTAGCTGTTGCTCTTCATGTCTGCGTGACGGAGCTTCTGTCTGGTTCTGGTTCTGGTTCGGTGTCAGTGAGCCGTTCTGATGAAAAAAAGATGAAGCTGCAGAGGTTCTGCTGCCTCAGTGGTGCACATCCTCTAAAAGCTCTCTCATGATACTTTCCAGTCACACTGGCAGATTTTCAAATATTCATGAGGCGAACATAAATAAAACATTGATGGAGGGGATGAGGATGGTGGAGAACAATTTAATGTCTCAAGAGGAACCATCCAGAACCATCCACAGGAACCATATTCATAACAGAACTGGACCAACATCACATCCTTATATTACAACTGCAGATTTTCTGTTCACATATTTCGCTTCACTTGTTCTATTCTACATGTTACGTGGCCCATTAAATGTTGTTGCTGTATAATTTACTCGTATATTAACAGGGAGACCTGAATCATTTTACTAGATTTTGTTATGAGACAAAATTAACTGAAAAAATAAACTTACTTGTCTACAGATTCAGGAAAGGAATAACAAGATTTAAAAAGCACATTTTCTATTAAAAAGCATTTAAATCTTTTTAAATCTCAGTTTATGTGTGTAATTTGTAAAATGTTAATTTTGTGATATGTGTTAATAATATTAATTACTATACGTTAATGTTGAAATGTTTCATTTTTCTGTCAGGAAAATTAGTAACCACTTTGCTGGAAACTAACGTGGATCCTAATAAATATTAATTTGCACATGTTCTTCTCCACATGTTAAATTAATGTGTAACAGCTTCACAATTTCTGTTCTACATTTTCCTCTGCACATGTTACAATCCACAATTTCTTCTTCACATTTTGTGTGAATTTGTACCAGCTCCACATGTTCCAATTGCACATATTATCTGCTTCAATATGCACCGTGCACATTAAATGTGCTGGGTTCGCATGTTCTGCTAAACATATTCCTTCTTCCATCTGCATATGTTTCATCTGCACATGTTCTGCTCTACATTGTGTATTTGATATTTTCTGCTATTCATGTTCTATTGTAAATGTCCTGCTCCACATGTGCTGGTTTCACATAATCTGCTAGATATATTCCATCGCACATATTTCTTCTTCACATGCTCTATCCACATTTTAGTTCTTATGCTCTGCTGCACATGGTCTACTTTTATTTGTATGAGCTCCACATGTTTCAGATGCACATATTCTATTGGACATGTGCAGATGGAACATGGAGGGGCAACATCTGGAATAGAAAACACAGGAAAACATTCCTGCTTCAAATGTTTCATCTGCATCTATTTTTCCCCAGGTTTCTAATAGTTACACATCTTCTGATGCACATGTAGCATCCCTATACTCTGTTGCACATGTTCTGCTTTACATGGTATATTCCACGTATTTTGGAACTTTCTTCGACTCCCCCTTGTGGATTGGAGTGAGTTTGCAACTGTTTTAGCTGTTTTTCTTGTGATTGCAGAGTTTTTGTGTTGGCTGCATTTTATCTGAGGTTGCAGCATTTGATGTTTTGTTGATTGAAGGTTTTGCTTTTATTTTCTGTTGTTGCACCATTTGTTTTGTTTGCATTGCTTTTCCGTTGTATTTGTTTTTCTCATGTTTGTGGCTCGTTTAATTTTTGTTGCACCGTTTGCACCTGTCAGCCACCATATTCTCCACCTGTTCTGCTGATATATTTCAGCCCCAGATGTTTCAGTTTCACTCTGTGATGAGGTTATGACCCGAGTGCTGCAGAAACATGAGAGGAACTGTCATGTGACTCTGCAACAGCAAACCAGGAAGTGATGAGTTGCTTTTATTTCGTCCCAAAGCACTCGACACCTTAATTTTCCACTCCATTGATCCAATTAACAACAACGATCACATGATCAAATTGCCTCATCAGTTTCACACCTCATATTTCTGTAAACACAAACGTTGACACATCGGGGAGTTTGGATGGAGCTGCTGTAGTTTTTTTTTTTAAATGAGTCATAAGAGACACAGAGCGCAGGGAGGGAGTCCACAGGGACCAGGTGGTTGTAGAAAACGGGGCAAGAAACAGAAATAGATCAGAAATCTTCCAGAAGACATCCTGAAATATCACGTGGCCCCAAGCTTTGTCTCCACTCAGCTGAGTAGTTCTGGTAGTTTCTTGTGCATTTTTTTTTTTACCATAATTTGTGAGCTCTAGTTTCTTGGTGAAAAGTTGAGTTTTGTCTTATTTCAAATGTATTAAGATATTTGTAGCAGAAACTAGACCAAAAACACTTTTTTTGGTAAGATTTAGTGTTTTTGCAGTGTGACTGTTAGAATCACGTTGGTTGGTTTTTAAAACCAGTCCAGACTTTCTGCTGTCAGTTTCTTCAACGCATCAGTTCCAGTTTAAATCATACAAGTGAAACAGCAGCCAACCAATCACAGTCACGCATCCGGAGCTGCAGTTTTAGGCTAATATCTGCCATCTTCCAAGGTTTATCGTAGCTTCAGCCTGTAACACAAGCAGCAGAAACACTTTGTTTACTTTCACCATGAGCGCTGTTGTCATGGATGCAGTCCAACTCCACAGAGGGAGTTAATGAGTGGGACTCAGGTGAAGCTGGAGCTTAATTACAGGTGCAAACTCTGAGCTCCTCCCGGATCACTTACAGAGCTCCTAAACCTCTGCTGAAGTTTCCAGATTATTGTTCGTTCAAGTCGTTGAATGTCTGCTTTTAAGATCCAGAAGTGCTTAATTATCACATGTGAGTCTCTGCAGCTCCAGCTGCCAGAATGTTTATATGGGGGCAGAAAGAAGGTTCTGGGTTCGATTCCCAGCCTGCAGTATTTCTGCATGAAGTCTCCCAGATTTAAATCCCATCTGATGTCTCTGGAGAGATCTAGAACCCAATGGAGCTTAAGAAGTTCTGGGCAGAACTTCCCAAAGTACGGCTGCAAGTAACAATTATTCTAGTTATCAATTAATCTATCAATTATTCTAATGATTAATCAGTTATTCTGAAGATTAATCAGATATTTTTATTTCAGCCTTTTTGCTTTAAATATAAACTAATTCTTTAAATTAGAAAATAAACATCTATTGCCTAAAATGCAGTAAGATCTTTCCTTTAGTGATCATTGGTAGCAAAGCCTGTAACTAAAAAAATACTTCAAACTTCAACATGTGAAAAACTCAGAGCTTCCTGCTTAATTTATCAATAAAGTGGAGGACTTATCTATTATTTTATTAATTAATGTAGCAAAATGTGCTTATTAGGCGATATTTACAGGATGTGAACAAGGTGAAACTAAAATGCTACTTCAAGAGTTCTGGGAAGACGAGGATTATTTCAATCTGAAATGCAAAATATGTTTTGCATATTTTTGCCCTAATTCCTGCTTAACAATGTTGTTCTTTCAGCAACTGAGTCTGTCAGTTAAAGATTTGATTATTAAATTAGTTAATAATTTTTTCAATAATGGAATAATCATGATTAATCTGACTAATAATTCTCGTCCTAGAATAAAGAGTATGGTTTATAAATTGGACTTTCCAGCTACAGTTATCAGGTAAAGATGATGAAACAGGGGAAGGAGCATGAAATGCATCTTTTAACAAACAATAAAGAGTTTCAAATCCACAGCTTCACTCAGACTGACTCCAGACCAGCCGACCCGACAAAGCCAACCTGGGTTCTGTTGCTGCACGGAGTCGGTGAGATGTTGCAGGAGGAGCAGAAGCAGCAGCGACCCGACTCCCAGGAGAAGCGGACACCAACGGAGGCGGGGCCGTGAGCAGAGGAGATTCATCCTCCTCAGAGCGCTGCGGTCCCACAGGCTGGTTCCGGATCAGCCTCAGAACCTGAGGGCAGGAGGTCACAGCTGGGTCACTGCATCTGGAGTTAGCGACTATTTTAGTAATCAATTATTCTAATGATTATTCACATTTATAAATAAATGACACATCTTGCAGATTTTTAATTTAACTTAAACATTTTATACAATATTATAAATACATCAAAAGGTACAAATAATTTAATACCTTTTTTAAATTACAAAATAAATGTTCTTTACCTGAAATTCAATAACAGCAATCCTTTAGTGTATGTTTTCTGTATTATCTTAAGTGCAAAATGTATAGAGATATAAATTAACACGTTTTTTTTGCTTAGAGTTATTTGCTCTGAGTTATTCTTTCAATCAATTCCCTTTTTCAGAGTCTGTATACGCTGGTCAACTATCAAATATAACACATCTTTCAAAAGTTAAATAATGAGCCAGTGAAACTTTTCATCAATATGAAGAAACTATTTACTTAAACAAGCTCCAGTCTTCCTTAAAATGTACAAATAAGTTAGTTTTGTCCTATTTCAAGATATTTCCATTAGACCAAAAATGCTTGGTTAGATTTTGTATTTTGCAGTGCATCCTACAAATTGCTCCCAAACTCTCTGACGATGTTTCCAGCGTTTTGCTGGGTAGATCCTCCGGTCTCTTCCTCTGCCTGTGGCTCCATCAGCTTGGAGTGGAGCCCAGCTGGGACATATTTATAGATCAGAGTGCTTCAGGTTATTTTTATCCGCAAATACAGAAACAGAGGAGGTGAAATCAGATCGCTTCTGCAGCCTGCAGCCGTTAATCTGCTTGAAGATTCCTGATTCAGAAATCTGAATGTTTTACCTCTGGAGGAACGATGGTCACAAAATCTGATGAGTTTTTAAAAAGTCTTAGACTAGTCTTAGATTTTATTTCTAGAAAAACATGGACATTTCTGAGTCAAATATGTTACAGTTTTGGAGTTTCTTCCTAATTTCTGTTTTCTTCGCTATTGAAGTGGCTTATGAGGTCACCAGGTTTCCCTGCAGGAAATGGAAATGTTTCGACAATTAAACGCCCCTTTGACCCACAACAGCAGCTCTGCAGCATCGAGTTTATTATAATAATCCCATAAAATCCAATCTGATCTGGGATTTATCGACTCTCTTGGTCACAGCGTCGTTCCTGCAGCAGGAGAAGTGGTTTAACGATTATTCCTGAATATAATCCACAACCATTTTTCTTATCTCAAATTCTGCAGAAGATCAAAACCTTAATCCAGAATCATTGCAGTTACTTGTATATTTGCAGGTTTGTTTTAGATAAAGGATGCAAACAATTACTTTACTTACGATTGTTTGTTAGATTAAAATTAGTTCTAACCTATTGACCAATAACATTTATTTCTTTTAGTGTTGTAGTTTGACCTCCATTCAGCAGAGGGCGCCGCAGGTCATCCTGAAGCAGAACCCTTAATACAGAAACAAAGATGGCGGAGGAGTTACAAGAATGGAAAAGACTATCGGTCCAAGTGGAGTCGGGTGTGGGATGAAAAGGAACTTTATGCGGTTCTGTTTTGAAATATAAACACCTGATGAACTCCTTATGACCGTCCACCATCTTGATACAAGACAAAACTAAAACTATTATCAAATATCAAACAATCGGTAGTCGATCAAAAAGATTTCTGAAAAGTAAATCTGGGCTTCTGCAGTAAAACATAGCTGGGTCAGGGCAGGACTCAGACTCTCGACCCGAGTCTCTGCAGGACTCCTCCTTCCTAATTTCCATCAACATGTTTGATGGAAATTAAACATTTGCATCAACATGTTTACAGTCTGCAGGTCACCATGACGGTGCCGGTCCGACCCCAGCAACAGCCCGGATCATGTTTCCATGAGACAAACAGGAAGTCAGCTGGGGAGAGATGATCCCTCTGAGGATTCCTGCAGGAGTTTAGGAAAAACATCTCCAGACAAAAACCTGGAGATGTTTTGAGATTAAACTGACAAATTATCTAACAAGAAGAAGCATGAGGTTCTTTAAAATGTGGACCGGTGTGTTGACTTTAGAAAACCCAGAGGACCAGAACCAGGAGACCACATGGCATTCAACATGGATTCTGCTCCTCTCCTCTCCTCCTCATGCAACAACATATTATGGCCACTGGAGGCAGTCAAAACAAGGAAGATCAAATTTCTGCCACAACATTTTCAGATTAAACTCAGAAACTTTGTAGAAAAATTATGAAAATTGCAGAATTTGAAAAGTCAAAACTTTTCAACTTTTGAAACTCAAAACAGGTTCTCTCTGTATCTGCTACACCTTAAAACATTTCTTCCTTCCACTAAATTTTCTGTGAATTTGTTTGGAAACAGAACTAATCAACTTTTTCAGCAATTACTTTTTGTGGTTGCTTATAAAGCTGCAGATGGATGACCCAGGTGTTTCTAATACCTGTAAACCATTAACAGGTGTTAATTTCCGCCAATTTCTGATATTAATCTCAGAAATATTCTAGAAAAACTTTAAAATTTCTGAGTTCAAAAGTGTAAAATTTTATGAGCTTCTAAATGTAACATTTTTTATTTGTCTTTTATTCAAATCAAATCGATTTATTTTCCAATTAATTATTAATTTGCTGCAGGAGAAGCTGTTCTGGTTTAGTCAGGTCCAAAACAATCTGCTGCAGGAAAGTCAGCTGGATCCTGTTCTGGTTGATTCGGATCAGAACCGAGCAGTAACAGGTAAGACCTGGCGCTCACCTGAATCCCGGATCGGCTCCAGGTTCGGGTCCGGCATGGACCTTGTCCGCCGGCTGCTCCGCTCTGGGTCAATGATGATGGAAAATAACTCTGACTGAACCGAACCGAACCAGGGACCGGAGTCGGTTCGATGCAAAGAACTCTGGAAGCGGATCGATGCCGCCCGAAGTTCCGAACCACAACCGGAGTTCAGCGGAGGATCAAACCGAACATCAAGCGAGAGAGGAGAAGAAGACACTAACCGGAAGTTTACTACGGGGCCTTTCACAATAAAAGTCAAAAGGCAGTTTCCTTCAAGCCGCTGCAGACCTGAACCAGTGAATCCTGCAGATGGTCCAGAACTTCTCAGAACTTGTACTGTTTTCACTTCACTGGTCCACGATCCGATTCACTTCCAGACATGAAATAATATTAATCATAATAATAACACAGACTGTGTTAAAACGGGAGCTGGGTTGTAAAGTTACATACTCAGTTACATTTACTTGAGTATTTTTAAGCTGCTATAGATTTTACTTCATTATGAAGTATCTATATCCTTACTTGCGTAATGTTTCAGGATACTTTACCCACTTTGAATAACTTGAATAGAAAGGAACAAGCTTGTTTTTATCAAAAATTCACCACACAGACACATACATGTAGTGATTCGTAGGTTTTATACTGAAAGAAATGGATTTGGAAAAAGGATTATTTTTCCTAATTTTATTATTCAGTAATTATATTGTTGATATGAATTATTTTCATGTTGATTTTATCAAACCAATATTTGGTCTGTCTGATTCTTAGTTTTAAAATATAAAATATTATATTAGTAACTCGCTGCTTGGGTGCCTTTTTTTTCAACCAAATACTTGTTTTTTCTTTTGCTTGTGTAATTTCTTGAATAGTTTCGACTTGAGTAAAAAAATGTTAGTTCCTCTTAACTTGAGTACAATTTTTGGGCGCTCTGCTCACCTCTGGTTCAAACGGCAGGACCAGAGATTAAAATAAAGATTAAAATAAAGTAACAAGATAAAAAAAATGCTTAATTTTAGTTAAAATAAATACATTTTGAACTCACAACCAGCTCCCAGATCCAAACTAATTACAAAACTTTTATGCCAGCCACCCTTCAGGCTTTTATTTTGTAGCAGCAACCGGAAGTGCAAACATTGACCGTTATTGCAAACGTCCGGCGGTAACAGGCGCTTAAATTCCGTGACAAAGGGGGGGGGGAAAAAAAGAAAAAAAAACCTTGGTATTTTATTCTATGTTGCATGCCTTTGTGTTTTGTGTTTATGCTGTAAAGCACTTTGAAATGCCTTGTAGCTGAAATGTGCTATACAAATAAAATTTGATTGATTGATTGATTGATAAATTGGCTTCAGCCTAAAGCAGCAGCTCTCCTGAGGGCGTGTGTTTATTTGCCTCTTTGGGGCATTTTGGGGACTCAACACACTTCGGTCTTTTGGGGACTAAGGTCTGGTCCAACTGCAGAGGACCAGAACCTTTTGGAGTTATGCGTTAGGTCAAAGGTCACGACCATGTGAGCTATTTTTATCTTTGGTCTCCTCTCATTTAGAGCTACATGAATTAAAAAGTTATTTCAACAAAATCTACTACAGGAATTTATGTTCAAATGAACACAATTAATCACAAAGAGACATTTTTACCTCATGTTTTAATTACAGTTTATTTTTATTATTTAACCCTAAATCCAGTAGATTGTTTTGAAAAACATAAGTACAATTTTACTGGTTTTGAAACTATATATTCGTCTTTCCCTTTATTTACTAATGCATTTGTGTCTCTCTATTGAATTAATTGTTTCCTCATTTTTCCCACAACTCCATTTATTTCTATGTATAACTATCCTCATTTATGAGTATAGAGGTTCTGATCACAGGAAAAATGAAAAAAGAAATTAAAAACTAAACGATTCCAGCTGAGACGATCAGTTTATTTCAAAACCTTCAGAGGAATATCTTAATACAAAATAAATATCTTCAAGTCGTTCACAGTTTCGTCTTCTTTGTCTGACAGATCCGCTGTTCAGTCAAAAGCTTCCTCCTGATGGACAGAGAAACAAGATCAGAGTGAACTCAATTCAAATAAAAAAAAAAAAAAAAAAAAGCAAGAGCAGAATTTACAGAAAAACCCATTTTGTAGAATAAAAAATACTTTTAGAAAATGATCAAAATCTGGAACATCTGGGAAGGATTCAGGTTGGAGAAAATATCTCTCATGATTACTTCCTGCTCTTAAAAGCTGTTATTTTAACGCGCGTGTTAAACTCGAGGCCTGGGGCCAAATCTGGGCCGCCACAACTTTTTATGTGGCCCTTTATAAATGACATCAATCCAAGTTTTTTGTGCAAATTCACATAGAATCAACAGATGCCCACATTTTTAGCGAGTCAATTACAAATTTTGTGTAAAAATGGTCAAAAACTTTGTGTCTAAGTGATGCTAACTCCTACCAGCAGGTGGCAGTATTTCTTATGTTTCTGCTGCCTCAGATTTACTAGATATAAAGTTATTGTCAGCAATCGATATGGCAAGTAACAAAAAGTCACATTTACTGTCATATCAATGCACAAAAATTGCAAAGTGTCAAAATCTTTGCTTTTGATTATAAAGAAATAAATTTGATTATAAAACAAACTACGAAATCCTGGAGGGACTAATTAATGTAAAAATATGTTCAATATTATTTAATATGAACAAGTATGTAATGAATGCACAGACAGTTATTCATTTCAGTAATCAAACCGGATCAGAACCAGCCCTCTTACCCAGCCTCCTTGCTGCTGGACCCAGCCAGCGTGGTTCTCTGCGATGTATCGGGCTCCGAACTGCTGTACCGCCCTCCGGTGGACCACAGTGACGGAGGACAGTCTGCTAGTCACCTCAAAGGCCCAGGCGATCCTCTGCTTCTGGACCAGCCCGTCTGAGCATGCCGCCTGGCCCGGTGGCGCCACCAGGTTCTGCACGGTGCAAGTCAGCTTTTCAAACAGGTTGTAGTTCAGGTTCTGGAGCTGCTGCTGCAGGGCCGGGTTCTGTTTGAGCTGAGCAGGAAAATAACTGGTTAAACAGAGTTTGGTCCTGTGTTTTGGTTCTGGTTCTGGTTCAGAACACACCTTCATATTAATGTCATCTCCAAGTGTTATCATCAGCTCGACGAGTCTCCGGATGATCTCTGCAGCGACACAGAACCTTTGGATCAGAACCTTTTCCATATAGACAGCGATCAGCAACCTTTTCCATTCAAAGAGACACTTTTGCCCCTGTTGCTACAAAATAAAACTCATCTAGAACTGCAAAAAACGATATTCTAACTATATACTACATAAAATGTTTAGCTTTCATAACACTAAAATTGTAAATTTATTTCTACTTTCAGATTCTGGTTCAAAACAAATCTTGTATCATTTAAGAAAAATAAATTGTAGAATAAGTTTCTATGATGCAGAAAGATAGATAGTAGGAACGCAAACAATTGACTTATGATTAATTGTCGATTACTGGTTTATTACAGGCGCGTCAAACTCATTTTCATTTTGGGCCATATCAAAAATGTAATGTTCTCAAAGGGCCGATTGTGCCAAAATGTATTGATAAAACCAATTAAACTGTTAAAATATCAATAAATAGCTCTTTGTTTCAGCATTCAATAAGTGTTTTTTAAAATTAAATATTAATCATCTTTTCACACTGATCCATCAAGGGCTTTGATTATTTAAATCACAGATTTTTTGGTGCTAATATAGAAGTATTTGTATGGAATTTGTACAATATTTGCCTTAATTTGTAGTGTTAAATATGACTTCTTGTTAATTGCCGTATCGGTCATGGACTATAACTTGAGATCAAGTAAGACTGAGGCAGCAGTCACTTAAGCCCAATGTTTTTGGCCAATTTTGAGAAAAATGTGGAGTAAAAATCTGAGAAATTGTGAGGATCTATTGATTTCGTGTGTATTTTACATATTTGTGAAAAACAGGAGTGACTTATTGATATAATTTGGAGCCTAAAGGGCCACTTCATTCAGTTTGACACATGTGGTTGATTAGATTAAAACGGGTCTTAGACCTTCTTTTATTGTTGTAGTTTGGCCACCTATCCAGCAGAGGACGCCACTGGTCATCCTGAAGCGGAGCCGTTGATACAGAAACAAAGATGGCTGACGCCGGATGTGGTTGTGTTGTTAAAGCCCAGAGAGTCTGTTAAAGGTGCTGTTACTGTCCGGGTAACTGGTGGTATTTTTTAATCGTCTCACCGTCTTGTGTCTGGAGGTTCTGCCCGGTGATTGGTGCCGACTCGGCGATCTTCACCAGCTGAATCGGGACATTCTGGGCTGTGGAGCAGTCCGGAGTTTTGTTACAGATGCCAAAGTTTTCTCTTTAAAATATGATCAATTTAAAACCATGTTACTATGGAAACACAGTCATACAGAGGTGCTAACTGCTCCAATAGGAAACAGACAACCGCTGGAAACATCTGGGATGATTTATTTTTTGTAAAAAGTCATCAACGCTCAGCAGGACCAGGTCTGGTTCTGGAGAATGTTTCTGACCTTCTTTTGGAGATCCAGAACGATTGAAGGAGTCAGACTCTATGTCCGAGGAGGGTATTCGAAGAAGACATGTTTTTTTTGGTGATGGTTTTCTGGGTGACGAGACTAAAGAGCTCTCTGGTCCTCCGGGTCCCTGGAAATATGCCACTGGTAACCTGAGGTTGCAGTATTTCTCCACCAGCCGTAACACCTCGTCTTCATCCTGCAGACTCTCCATGTCCACCTGCAGGAGACGAGCAGAAAACATTTGATTTCCCACATGTCCTCGGTCTGTTCTGTCTCTTCACCAGTGTTGCCAGATTGGGACGGTTTCCTGCTGTTCAACAACTTTGGGTGGGTTGTGAAAATGTGGGCCACTTTGCACAACATTTGGGGATTTTTAGAAAACATTCAGAAGAAAATTCTTTCTAGATTGTTATATCAGATTATGTTGAATGTGACATCGTCAATAATTAGTAAATGGAGTATTAGCAGTGGGCGATATGGACTAAGAATTTTATCACAATATTTTGTTATTACGTCTTTTTTAGGTAACATGGCTTTGTGGCATAACATTCATAGCAACACAAACGAATATTCTTGAAGATGACACTTAAACAAGTGTGATTTATTATTTTATTAACACGAGTTCCATGCATTAAATATATTTTTAATCCAGCTGACAGGATTTGAAACTTAAGCCTCAAACTTCTGAAAAGTTTTCCTCGAGCTGCTGAAACACGTTCAACTTTCCCAAACCAGCCAGCAGATCATATCACTGCTTTTAGACACCCGGTAAAATGAGTTTTACTGTTTTTAACCCTAAACGGTGAAACTTAAAGAGTCTAAAGTTAAGTTCCTGCTCCAGCTGTTTGGTTTCACTTTCCACAGAAACAACACAAACGCACCTGAAGGCGCGTAAACGCCGCAGAAAACGCGTCCGTACTCAATAAAACACACAGGTGTGTCTTTACTGGAGTCACAACCCGAACCAGGACCAGAACTCACCTGTGCAGCCGCGACTGCAACTGTACGCTGGAAACTGTACTTCCTGAAGTCCGCCTACGGCCACTAGGTGGCGGTGCAGCACTTTAGATTTGCTTCGTTTCTGACAAGTAACGGTCAGGCAACACCATGACGCAGAGGGTGGGACTAATATGATCTTTTCATGCCTTTAAAACTATTTTTATTATTTTGTTTTCTTTGGGAATTTAACTTAAATTAACTGAGTGTTTCTTTGTCACTGAGCCTGATTTCAGTTTAGGACCAAGATTATATTAAATCCTCCATCCTCCCTGAGCCTAACTCCACCCGGCTGCTGTGTCGGCTGCTGTAAAACAAGCGCTCCTCTGTCAGTTTGCTGTTGGACTTTGTTTCACTTCCTGCAGTTCCTATTTTATCAGCAGAACTTCCTCATTTCAACACAAATGAGTTCTGCACCGCCTGCAACAGACCCGTTCAGAACCCAGAACCAGTTTAATGACAGAACCAGTACAGCTGACCCAGTTGGTCCAGCAATGAGAGGAGCATGAGCCTGGTCGTCTCCCAGCAGCTCATCTGACCTCTGGCTTTCTCCAGCGAAGGGTTCTGAAGATTTGGACCGGATGGCTGCAGGTACTGTTGTTTAATCTGAGTTTTCAGATTATTTTGCCTCAAAAATGTAAAACTGCTTGAAGTTCTGCAACACAGCTGCAGACGTGTGATTATTAAGAAAAATCTGCAGATTTTGTGACTTTTTTTAAGCTACAGTTTAGATCAAAGTTATCAAAATCCTGCATCATTTCAGCAGAGAATAAAATCTATTTTTAATGAGTGGAAAGGAAAAGGTTAAAAGAGAAGCAGAAGAGTTTTCAGAGCATTTCCCCCTAAAAATCCAATGAGGAAGGTTCAGCCTGACATGAAGATGCTGCAATCGTTCAGAAATCATTTCACAGTCTGGACTCTACAAAGGGCTCACAGTGGCAGTAAACCAGGCGGCCAAGTATTTGCTTGAATTCAAGTTTATATCAAACTCGTAATTTTATATGTAGTGTGGAATTTTAATATTATTACATTTCTATTTAATTTACACACTGGAATATTTATAAATTATAAAATGATAGTATATCTTTTTGAAGCAATCTCTTATTGGACATTTTAAAGGCTCAACATAGGATATACATTAATGCTGAAGCCAATGCATAGATTATAAAATAGGGGTTATTGGTAACTAATCACCCATGAACATATATGTATACAGTGACTATGAAAGTATTAATCTCCTTGGATATTTTACCCTTTTATTGCTTTTTCAAAGCAGTCATAAAAAAATCACAATCAGATGTCAGAGTAGAAACTAATTTCTACAAGCACTAATTAGCTGGACCTCTGTTAAATTAGGTCAGTTAAGTTAGTATCTAATTTTACGTTGGATATTTCAGTTTTTACTTAGTTTTTTTAATTATGTTGATCAGGACTGAATGTAAAAGCAATAAAAATTAGCGTTTAAATCCTAAAACTTGTTTTCTGACTGTTTATGTCATATTGTTGGTTTGGGTCCTGGTAAGGCAGCTCTGTAGATCAGTGGGGTTTTTATCCTGTGTTTGATTCTGGGTGTTTTAGGTGAAAGGCCCAGTTGTTCCAGTTTAACCACTAAGGAGCTCCAGCAGAACTTGAAGCTGGCGAAGCAAAATGAGCGACCGGTCCGGCTGCTGTTTGAGATCCCATCCAGTCGAGTCGTGGACCAGCTGCTGAACAAATACGTGGTGAGACAATCAGTAGAAACCTACAATCGGTGGAACTTCTCCAACTGTGTCCATGTTCTTCCTCTACAGGCGTATCAGATTGTCGTGATGCGCTCTGGCAGCTTTGATTCCTGTCGCGTTTCCATCGAGCGCCGCTACAGTGACTTCCGGAAGCTTCACAACAAACTGCTGGAGGAATTTGAGGAAGAGCTTGAGGATGTTCTCCTGCCCCCGAAGCTCCTGACGGGAAACTTCAGCCCAGAGAACATCCTGGAGCGCCGCCTGGCCCTGCAGGACTACCTGGCCAAGCTGTTCGCCACCCGCTGCGTCAGACACTCCGCCCACTTCTCGGAGTTCTTCACCGAGCACGAGCAGAAGCAGGCCCACGTGCTGCTGCGAGCGGGCCAATTCAAGGCCGCTCTGGGGGAGCTGCAGACGGTCCTGGAGATCCAGGAGAAGCTGCTGCCGTGGCAGAAGTCCACCCTGACCGTCCCCGCCCTCTCTGCGATCGCTGTGTGTTACCGGGACCTGGACGAGCCGGAGCAGGCCTTCTCAGCCGCTCAGCGAGCTCTTCCTCCGGTGAGGCGCTACGGACTGAAGCCCTACAGAGCGGCACTGCTGGAGCTGCTGGTGGACCTGGGGTACCAGCTGGGTCGTCCCGTGGCTCAGCTGCAGGACGAGCTGACGGCCATCAGGAACGGCGAGAGAGGGGAGGTGTGCTTCCGGTCGCTGAAGGAAGTGGTGATCCACAAGTTCATCTGAGGAAGAGCAGGAACCCAGACTTACCTGAGAACCTGACTAGAGAAAGTCTGGGTCTACTAAAAACCTAAATGGCCTCAAAGCATAAAAAAGTTAAGACTGAGAGTGAATTCCCACCAGTCTGCTTCAATCAAACTCTAGTTTGTTTGTCTAGAAAGTCTGAATCATTTGGTGTGAATCCGCAACGATACGGACCAAATTCTAACGCATATGAGAAGACCAAGTGGACCAGAGACCTGCTAAAGCCCTAAAGAAGTTACTGTGAACAGTTCTTTCTCCCCCCACAGTCTGTCACTATTTTGTTCTGGATGTTTTCCTATTATTTAGTATTTTGGCAACATTTTATAACTATGTTTATTCAAAAAGATCAGCAAAATGTCCTGTTTGGGCTTCAACAAAGGAGCTAAATAAATCCAAAAGATTTATTTATTAACTTATTAATCAGCCACACTCAGTTTTGAGGAGACAGTCTGTTATTACTGTTGAGTTTTAACAGCATATGCTAACAACCAAATTTTTGTCTGATCAAAAGGGAAGAAATATGATTTGTTCCCAACTGAAGAGTCTGGATGATCTGTCGTCTTAATTTATTTTTTTGGCACAAACTTTACTTTATGTAGGATTTTCTGTCATCTGGATTACTATTATTATTTATGCTCCCCTGTCTACTTTCCACATTCTTGTTTTTCTTGTACATTGTCACAAATAAAGGTGCCTAAACAATCAATGAAAGAAAAGAATCGAAATTCTTCTCCTCCTCACCAGCAGGGGGCGCCAAACACCAAGATCAACCGGAAGCCGATCGATTAATGCAGCCTGATGACCGTTGAAGCTACTCGGGGTGCTATTCATCAGACTGAGAGGCTCGTGGCGCAGGTTGTGCAAGGAGCTGAGTTTCAAAACGTTTTAGTTTTGAAAGCTCATTTTAGTTAAGTTAGTTTAGTTAATTCGGTTTAGTTAGAAGTAGCTCATCTGTCGATCGATTCAAAAATGGCCGCGGAGTCTGTGAAATTGTCTAAAAACCTGCTGAGGATGAAGGTAAGCGTTAGCATCCGGAGCTAGCATGATTGTTTTGTAATTATATGTAAAAATAAACGTGTTTAAATAAAACTACACAAAATGTTTCCTAATATGAATATAGACTTTCTTTTTATCTCTGATCATGAGGTTTTAGTCACAATTTTAGGGGGTTTTCTCCTGTAGTTTACTGTAACATGTTACTTTCTCTGTTCTGTAGTTTACTGTAACATGTTACTTTCTCTGTTCTGTAGTTTACTGTAACATGTTACTTTCTCTGTTCTGTAGTTTATGCAAAGAGGTCTGGACGCTGAAACCAAGAAGCAGCTGGAAGAAGACGAGAAAAGGATAATCAGTGATGAGCACTGGTACCTGGATCTGCCGGAGCTTAAAGCTAAAGAGTAAGTATCAAAGTTTCAACCGGTCTGAGATCAGTTTCGGAATGTTATTGTTGGATTTATTTGACCTAAATGAATATTGATGGCTATATTTAGCCAGTTAGTTTTAACCAACAGACATCAGACAGTGAACGTTTTATGGAGTGCCCTTTGTAAAGTTACACAGTAAATAATTAACAGCAATATTTTTGTTTTATTTTGCCTGTCATGGAGAAAGAAAATGTCGGTGTTCCTTTTTCCAAATCACATTTTTACCCTTCCCTTCATACATGATATTATGTATGAATGACAATACAAAATATTTAATTTATAACCTAAATGTTTAGTTTACAAAGTAAATATTTAGGTTTCAAATTAAATATTTAGTTAGGAAGCCAAATAATGCTGTCCTTCCTATGACTTTACTTTATTTATTTAGCTGTAGGTTATTTGTAGAGCATCACACAGTTTGTTGTTTCAGGAACCTGATCATTGAAGAGAAGAGCCTGGTTCCCTGTGAGGATTTGATCTACGGGCGAATGTCCTTCAAAGGGTTTAATCCAGAGGTGGAGGTAAGAACCAACAAAACCAGTTTGAAGTTTAAAGTGAACCTCTGAGTGCAGTCTGACAATGTTTTATTCAATTTGTTCCAGAAACTGATGGTGCTGCTGAATCCTAAAGATGAAAAGGAGGAAGAGGAGGAGGATATGGGCTGCATGCAGACAGACATCACTGATGAAGATATGGCTCTCAGGTAAAAATGGGAACAGATTATGAACATCCAGACTAGAGATGATTCATTAGAATAAATTTAGTTCCAATAGATTAGCTGATAATATTCTTTTAGTGTTGCAATTTAGCTGCCATCCAACAAAGGGCGCTGCTGGTCATCGTTAAGCGAAGCCGTTGATATAGAATCAAAGATGGTGGTTAGATCACTGAATTATCCAAACAGAGTCCGGTTGGGTTGGAAAATATAAACACTCATCAAGGTCCTTAAGCTTCACAAGTTTTTATTTTTTTAAACTTAGCATATCATAGAAATTTAGCCCTTTTATTGAAAGACGGTCGGTCCAGTTCATACAAGCAAAAATGTGTAATAGCTGCGTATCAATTCATTGTTATTCAGACAACATTAGTTTAACTCATTAGCCAATAACTTTTGCTGCTAACAGGCAGCAGAGCTTGAAGTTAGCTACTGTTATAAACCTTTTGAAGATATTTAAAACATTCAGGCGACGGGTCAGCAGATCAGGATTTAGCTCAAACATTTGGGGAGAAAAATCCCCTGAAAAAGTTAGCACTCCTGTCCACCGTTATGTTTGCATGAGTGTTGATTGGTCAACTCTGACTCTCAGCTTCCTGTTTCTGTGTTTTAGGTACGAGAGTTTAGTAGGAACCATGAAGAAGAAGTTTGCAAAGAAGCGCGAGCGAGCGGCGATGGACGAAGACGAAGTCAACCAAAACGTGGTTGTGAAAAACTCCAAGAAGAAAGCCTTCTTGAAGCCCCAGGACTGAAAATATTGTAATCATGAGGAAAAACGGGAATATCGGAAACTATAAACTGAACGGACGCTACACCGTTTAATCATCTCTATGAGACGTATTACTGCCAACCGAGCTTTTAAAGGAACAATTCAACGTTTCAGCTCGTCGCACCGGAATATCCGCCGGTTCCACTTTGAGGTACACGCCTCAAGACATTCGGACTCGGACTGTGAAACAGAGACAACAGGAAGTGGCTGGATGAATTTCCACATCATTAAAGCTCTGCAGTGAATCTCCAGAGGGACTAAGATTAATCTAATTTATGTTTAGAACTACACAGATTGGATTGAGTTTTTCTTATTTAAAGAGAAATGTTTTTTTAAACATTTGTGCTGCTGCAATGTTCTTCAGGTTGCCAATGTAGATGTAAAAACATGTGAATAAAGCAGATAGGAGTTTTTAAAATAAAGTCTGTAACCTTCATGCATCCTCCATAGACAGGACATTTCAGAACTCAACTGAGCAGGTGTACTGACTTTCAAAAAAAAAAAGGAAAAACATCTATTTTATTGAAAGTTACTTTCAATAAAATAGAAATTTTGTCCTTTTTTTAAAATATTGGGCTCCAAAAAAGAATCTACAATAAATGAGGTCGAAGTCATAAAATGTCAATAAACCAACATTCAAGTTGGACGCTGCATTGAAATTCAAGCTTGCCTAAGGACAAAAGCGTCCAAACTTTTCAAAGCAGCTTAGTTGAATTTTATCACAACCTGAAAAATTACTTTTGTAAATACAATGTCTAAATTATTGGATTGTTAAAATTTCACCTATCCTTTTAATTAAACTAGTTGGGCGGTTCTACATCTCCATTTTCATCCAGTTAGACGTGGCAGAATGATTAATCACCTTCAGAATTGATCAGACAATCGAAACTAATCAGTGACAGATGGGGCTTTTATTGTGAAAGTCTCAGCTATCATTCTGAGGGTCCCCTACAGGAACATGTGCACAGATCAACACTGAAAAGCAACACATGAAGACAACACTCAAAACAACACGGTTCAGCCAATCACAGAGCAGGACAGGTGTGGGGGGCGGGGCTTAGGCAAAGTTCTGTTTCAGGAAGTTGATGAGGCCGTTGGTGGACGAGTCGTGAGACGAGACCGGAGAGGCGTCCTTCAGCTCCGGCTCAATCTTCTTCGCCAGCTGCTTCCCGAGCTCCACCCTGGAGACAAAAGGACCCCACTGTGATGTCACTGAACGCATCATCAGAGAGAGACGGACTACTGGAGGACTGGATTTGAAGGTTAAACTTCAGAGTCCTGCTGGTGTTACCAGGTTCTGAAGCTACAGCAGGACACCAAAGCCTTTCGGTTTTGTCTGACAGAAAAATATTCCTGCTTCGATCAAATTTAAGACCAACTGAGAGTTTAAACAAATATACAATTTAAGGCCTTAATGTTAGAAACACAAATTAAAGACCCTGAATTAAACTCACCCCCACTGATCGTAGCTGTTGATGTTCCACATGACGCCCTGGACGAAGATCTTGTGTTCATACATGGCTGAAAAACAGGAGGGGTCACATTACCTTTAGCTGATCAAAAAAAACCAGGAAGTTTGTTATCCAATAAGCTTTGGGCCGCTCCAATCTGATTGGTCAAAACCATCCGACTTCCAGTACTCACCGATCAGCGCTCCCAGTACGAACGGAGTCAGCTTCTTGAAAACGATGGAGTTGCTCGGCTTGTTCCCTTGGAAAACCTGTGAAAGAGACGCCAGACTGTCAGCATGGAACCGAACGCTGAGACCAAACAGAACCGCGTTGTGTTCGCTAGGCGTTTTCACTTTGTGTGGCAGCAGCTTCTCCAGAGCGTCTCCCGACATTCCCGCCGCTTCCAGCTCTTTCCGAGCCTCCTCTGACGTTTTCCCCTTCATTAGAGCTTCAGTCTGAGCCAGGAAGTTCGCCACAAGGATCTGGGAACAGGAATTACCTGAATTATTCAGCTGCTGAGTAACGGCAGCAGGTTTTAGTGGCACTGAAATTAATTAATTATCCTCAGGTTTGAATAAATGCTGGTGTGGCAGCTGTTTTATTTATGTTACATCCATTCGATATAAACACAACTAAATCCAAAACTGGGACTTTGAGGTAAACCGGTAACTTTAGGGAAAACTGTAGTGGGAAAAACTACAAGTAAATAACATTTTAAACAAATAAAACTGAGTGAAATGACAATGCACATATACAGCTTGTATACATGCATTAATAAAGAAACCAAGTCTGTGAAATAATGTTTTTATAAAATTCTATCACAAAAACATTTGTGAAAATGTATTTAACCTATTAAAATAAAAACACTCATTTTGATATTATCAATTAATATCAATATTATTAATTAGAATAATTTAACATTCCTCATTGTTTTTTATTTCATGCCACATTTAACTAACTAGAAAAACAAATTACTAATTTTATTTATTAGTCATAGTTATAAAATATTACTGTCATTATTGAATAATTTTTTAACAATTTTAAAAGTTTGTACCATCGGAAAGTAATTTTTCATCCACATTTACTGAAATCTGAGTATTTTGTAAACCTCCCAGTAAAACGAGTCTATAAATCCAGGTGAGCAGGAAGTGTTACCTTGTGGTGCAGGTTGTCTCTGATTGGATGCTGGGACTGAGCAGGAATCAGGAAGTCAGCAGGAATCATCCGGGTGCCTGCGGAGCGAACGTCCGGTCTGTGATGAGCGGTCAGCGGCTACAGAGGAAACCAGTACACCCAGTAAAACCCAGTCACCTTGGTGGATGAGCTGGTAGAAGGCGTGCTGTCCGTTGGTCCCCGGTTCCCCCCAGACGATTGGTCCCGTGTGGTAGTTCACGCGGCTGCCGTCTTTGGTGATGTACTTCCCGTTGGACTCCATGTCGCCCTGGGAACACAGGTGAGTTCAAGGGTCAGCGATCTGGGCCGATCAAAACACATCTGTGAAGGTCGGAGCCGAGCTGACCTGCTGGAAGTAGGCCGCGAAGCGGTGCATGTACTGGTCGTACGGCAGCATGGCGTGCGTCTCGGCCTGGAAGAAGTTGACGTACCAGACGCCCAGGAGGGCCAGCAGAACCGGGACGTTCTGGTCCAGAGGAGCGCTGCGGAAGTGGTTGTCCTGGAGAGAAAGTAGGTCCAGTTTCAGACGAACTCATGATACCGATCAATAAACTTTGAATCAACTCGTTAATAAGCGGCAATTTTGTTAAAAACCTGCGATGTCTCCGATATAAGAGTCTTTAGCTCTTCCACAACATAAAGAGCTAAATATTTAATACTAGGCTGGATTAAAATAAAGTGAAATTTAGGATAATCAAGTGTTTATATCTCAAAACAGAACCGTTGGGATGTGACACGGGATGACCGTGCTGGATGGGGGCCAAATTACAATGCTAAGCAAACGTCATTCGTCGATTGGAACAAATTTTAATCAGATAAAACATTAATCGACAATCGTAAGTCGATTATTTGCATCCCAACTTCAAAGCTTAATAAAAACTTTTACATTTATCATTTCTTTTAAATCTGATTTTTGTTAGTGCATGAAATAAATCAATAAATTTGAATGATGCACATATCACTAGTATTTATTATTTTACTTCATAATTAAAAGACAGTGCATCAATCTAATGTCTAAAGAATGCCGCTTCTTTAAAAAGAACCACACATTTCCTATAATAAATATTTAAAATGTATTTTTACAAAAGATTATGTAACATTTGAAGCCATGAATGCATTTTATTTAGCTTTTCTATTTAGAGCATGTTCAGCCCCAAACCATTTTCAAACAAACATAATGCATAGTTCATGCAAACTGACTTGTTTCTGTTCTGATTCCTAAATAAAAACCCAAACTCTGAAATGTTCTCCTACCATCCAGTGGGCTCCTGACAGAAGCTGCTCGAAGTTCTCGAAGCCTGAAAAACAGAAGACGACTGTGACAAAAACACTAATACTCCATCATAACTCAAGGAAATATGTTTTTAAGTATTTTCTGCCAGCTGTAATTTATTCTTTAGAGAAGCAACCAAAAAAATGCAATTAAAATTGAATCTTTCATGAAAAAACATCCAGATTTTTTTTTAAGTCGCGTCCCTAAAGGTGACTTTATGCAACACTAAAGCAGCAAACTATGGAGGACACATCATGCACAAATCCATCATCATCTGAAGGACTCAGTCACAGATGAAAGAATCGATTATTGAAATAATTGCCAATAAATTTAGTAAATGATTAGTTGTTAACACAGGGCTGTCACAATAGGCAATAACTCAATTCATCGCATGACGAATTAAAACAAAGTCAGTTTCCATTTGCATGATTTATTGTTTTTTTCTTTCTACCAAAAACTCGATGACAAAAGGCTTCAGTTGGTCTGAACGAAAAGAGACTTCATAATTAATTTTATTTGTAGTTTTGTTAATTTATTTGGGACATTTAAAATGTCTTCCAGTTCCCCTCTTAAATGTTTTACTTATCTCAAAACGGCGATATTATCGTTTATCATAATAACTTCTGAGACAATTTATCGTCCAGCAAAAGCAGTGATCATGCCAGAGCTTTGTATAGAAACTCCAAGAAAGGGCGACATATTCTGTACAAAAATATTACTCAGTTAACCTTAATAATCATCAGATCAGACCTTCGCTGTACGATGCAGAAAGTAATTTTCTAGCTACAAATTACCAAGTGTTTACTAAAGGAATACCTTGTTATTACATTTTAGGCAACAAAAATGTCTTTTTCTGGTTTTACATGGGAATTATTTAATTTTTTTAATGTATTTCTCATATTTTATAAAAAACAATAAATCTGGATGTGCCTTTTTTTATCTGATTAATCGATTAATCATGAGGATAATTGTTAGTTGCAGCTAGAATCAGTGATGTCATCAAGCCCCGCCCCCTGCTCCAGTGACGTACCTACATGCAGAGCGATGGACAAACCGATGGCCGACCACAGTGAGTAACGACCTCCGACCCACTGAGGACGAGCAGACATGACAGCAACACAGTCATTCCACCAATCAGAGCACGGCACTTCAAAATAAAAGCCCCAGCAGGCTCAGTCCGATTTAGTTCGGTGGCAGACGGTGAACCAGAACCAAACCCGGATCGTCCCAAATCAGTCCCAGAAACAGATTGTCTTTATCATCAAAACCTGTTGATTCTGGAAGGATTCTGATTGGGTTCAAAGGTCACCGAGATGCCACAGAGTGCAGAAGCAGAACCGGCACAAACTTACGTCCCAGAACTCAAACATGTTGGCCGGGTCGATGCCGAAGTCCTTCACCTTGGCCTGAGGAGACAGATAGATGCGTTAGGCAACAAGAAACATTCTGCTGGAGGAACAGTCGACCAAAACCAGCAGGACTGATCAGAACCGGTTCCAGCTGGGCCCACTTGTGAACTTTGCTGTGTTCTGGCCCGCT